AGGTTGTACTACAAGGTTATCCTGCTTTTTGTACAAGAATCATGCACATTCTGTGTTTATAGAGTAAGGAATCATGGGGAGAAGAACACAGATAAATGTTTTAAGAATGACTGGCACATGCAGATTTTATTTTTGAGTTTTCATGATCTTATCAGATCTTATGAATAATGAGATCACAGTGTATAAATAGCAATTGTTCTTCAATATGTGATGAAAGTTACCGATCAAGATAAAGACAAATTAATCTTGTTAAAGAGCCCATTTTAGTTTTCTGTTTTACAATTCATGTTCTTAAGGGACTTCTGATCACCTGTGATTATTCCTCAGGAGACTCATATCTCTGGTTATTAAATAGTAAAATGTGTTTCACTGTACATGCAAGATTAAATTGTCTTAATTATTTTTAACTGTTTTTAACTGACAACTTATTTGTGGTCAAAGTCAGGTCTCTTTGTTGGATGTGCCTGAGAGGAGAGGAGTGAGGGAGAGCAGGGGGCCCCAGTCACAGTGGTTCAAGGTAGGGGGAGGTATGGCATGGGGGGGGCAGGCCAAGTAAGGGGCACACAACACAGGCAGTTGGTGACTGTGCCGTGTGCCAGCCCCTCCTCCAACCTGGGGAATTGCAGTTGTCCTATCGGCCAGCCCTCAGGTCTGTGGCTCCTGTTGCTGAATGCCAGGTCCTTGGCTCAGTCAGGGAGACCACTTGCGCTCTGGACCCTTGCCCTCTTGGCCTATAAAAACCAGCAGGGAGGGGACAGCTGGCTGGGCCAGGGAGATGGTTAATGCCTCTTTACGAGAGGGGGTGGTCCCTGCCTGCTTGAAGGAAGCAGTGGTAAAGCCACTTCTCAAGAGACACTCCCTGGATTCAGAAAATCTCGCAAACTACTGGCCAGTTGCTAGTCTCCCTTTCCTGAGCAAGGTTCTAGAGTGGGTGGTTGCAGACCAGATCCAGGCACTCTTGGAGCAAACTGATTTTCTAGATCCATTTCAATCAGGGTTTAGTCCCGGTTTTGGCACAGAAGCTGCTTTGGTCACCCTGTATGATGCCCTCTGTTGGGAGAAAGACTGGGGAAATGTGTCCCTGTTACTTCTCTGCGACCTTTCAGTGGCTTTTGATACCCTCAACCATGGTATCCAAATTAGGGGTGGGTGACGCCGCTTTGCGGTGGTTGCAGTCCTACTTGGATGGTCATTCCCAGAGGGTGTTGCTTGGGGAATATTTTTCAGCCCCGTGGACGCTTCGATGTGGGGCTCGATTCTCTCCCCTGTCCTGTTTAACATCTACATGAAACTGCTAAGTGGAGGTTTGGAGTACCTTTGTCAGCAATATGCTGATGACACACAGCTCTACTTCTCCTTTACATCTGCAGGTGAGCCAGTGGAAGTGCTGGGCCATTGTCTTGTCTTGATAATGGACTGGATGAGAGCCAACAAAGTGAAGCTCCTGGATCCTTTGCTGTCACTTGAGGCTCAGGTGGCATCAGTGGCACAGAGTGCCTTCCTTCAGCTTTGGCTGGTGGCCCAGCTATGCCCCTATCTGAACAGGGATAGCCTAACTACTGTCGTCCATGCCCTGGTAACCTCAAGGTTAAATTACTGCAACATTATATGTTGGGCTGCCTCTGAAGATGGTTCAGAAACTTCAGTTAGTGCAGAACTCAGCAGCTCACTGGGACAAGACCATTTGAACGTATTGCACCAATCCTGGTCCGACTGCACTGGCTGCCAATTAGTTTCTGGGCCCAATTCAAAGTGCTGGTTTTGAGGTATAAAGCCTTAAACAGCTCAGGGCCGCAATACTTCAAGGACTGCCTGTCTCCATATGAACCTACCTGGACCCTGAGATCATCCTCTGAGGCCCTTCTTCATGTGCCTCCTCCTTGAGAGGTCCAGAGGGTGGCAACACGAAAACGGGCTTTCTCTGTAGAGGCTCCTTGTTTGTGGAAGGCTCTCCCCAGGGACGTTTGCCAGGCACCTTCATTATACACCTTTAGGTGCCAGGCAAAAACGTTCCTCTTTAACCAGGCCTTTGGCTGATTGACATCTAGGTAAAGGTAAAGGTACCCCTGACCATTAGGTCCAGTCTTGGATGACTCTGGGGTTGCGCGCTCATAGAATCATAGAGTTGGAAGAGACCACAAGGGCCATCGAGTCCAACCCCCTGCCAAGCAGGAAACACCATCAGAGCACTCCTGACATATGGTTGTCAAGCCTCTGCTTAAAGACCTCCAAAGAAGGAGACTCCACCACACTCCTTGGCAGCAAATTCCACTGTCGAACAGCTCTTACTGTCAGGAAGTTCTTCCTAATGTTTAGGTGGAATCTTTCTTGTAGTTTGGATCCATTGCTCCGTGTCCGCTTCTCTGGAGCAGCAGAAAACAACCTTTCTCCCTCCTCTATGTGACATCCTTTTATATATTTGAACATGGCTATCATATCACCCCTTAACCTCCTCTTCTCCAGGCTAAACATGCCCAGCTCCCTTAGCCGTTCCTCATAAGGCATCGTTTCCAGGCCTTTGACCATTTTGGTTGCCCTCCTCTGGACACGTTCCAGTTTGTCAGTGTCCTTCTTAAACTGTGGTGCCCAGAACCGGACACAGTACTCCAGGTGAGGTCTGACCAGAGCAGAATACAGTGGCACTATTACTTCCCTTGATCTAGATGCTATACTCCTATTGATGCAGCCCAGAATTGCATTGGCTTTTTTAGCTGCCGCGTCACACTGTTGGCTCATGTCAAGTTTGTGGTCAACCAAGACTCCTAGATCCTTTTCACATGTACTGCTCTCAAGCCAGGTGTCACCCATCTTGTATTTGTGCCTCTCATTTTTTTTGCCCAAGTGCAATACTTTACATTTCTCCCTGTTAAAATTCATCTTGTTTGTTTTGGCCCAGTTCTCTAATCTGTCAAGGTCGTTTTGAAGTGTGATCCTGTCCTCTGGGGTGTTAGCCACCCCTCCCAGTTTGGTGTCATCTGCAAATTTGATCAGGATGCCCTTGAGTCCATCATCCACGTCGTTGATAAAGATGTTGAATAAGACCGGGCCCAAGACAGAACCCTGTGGCACCCCACTAGTCACTCTTCTCATCTCGCTCTATAGGCTGAGGGAGCCGGCGTTTGTCTGCAGACAGCTTCCGGGTCATGTGGCCAGCATGACTAAGCCGCTTCTGGCGAACCAGAGCAGTGCCCGGAAACGCCGTTTACCTTCCCACCGTAGTGGTATCTATTTATCTGCTTGCATTTTGACGTGCTTTCGAACTTCTAGGTGGGCAGGAGCTGGGACCGAACAACGGGAGCTCACCCCATCACAGGGATTCAAACTGCCGACCTTCTGATCGGCAAGCCCTAGGCTCTGTGGTTTAGACCACAATACCCCTTTAAAGTGTGTGTGTGGGAAGTTATTGGGGTTTTAAAATCATATATTTAGGGTTTTTATATTATATTTTTATGTTGTGAACTGCATCTGGTTGAATGCCTACCAGGTGGCAAGCAAAACAGAGCCACCTTAAAATTAGGTTATGGCTTCTACATGTTTGAAGGATTCGCTAGGTATATAGAAACGTATAAGTTTGTCCGTTAAAAGAAAAACATTTTCTTAAAATGGCAGACAAGGAGCTGTGAGCTTCCAGAACGCCTACAATATGTTGAGGTGTTGTTT